AACCTGCTCTATTAAAGGAAAAAAACCAAACTTGCTCTATTTAATTCACAATACAGAGATCTTCAGCCTCAGTACTAAAAATGCTAGGGGGCTGGAAATCAAAAGCGACTGAAAAATACTACTGTCTGCTTTAGGGTCGGGAACTGGGAGTCAGAGGGACAGTTTTATCTCCTCCACTGATCCCAGGACCTTCCACCTCCCTCCCCATCATTCTACTATCTAAACTCCCCATAAGCATTTGGAGCATCTCTTCTTGCACACCCAAATTGTACCCAGCACAACAAAGCCCCAGGACCCTACAGAAATACACCACTGTTAACATTGCCTTATTCTTCCAGTCCTGCAAGCACAGCTCCAGTCCCACCACATGCCAAAGTTTGAAGAGATTTCAAGATGGGCAGCAAGCTTTTGGAAAGTCCAATTTGATTATCTAAAAGGCAGCTTTTGTAGCAGCAGTGACAAATTGGCCCCTGGACATTGTCATGTTTTAAAGCAGCAAGGCTGGGTGATGAAAGCTGTTGGCAGTGCCTGGAATTGATTTCCTTTGAGCCACTTCCACCCTCTTACGTAGGTTCTGCTCACTGGTGAAGACGCAAAGACCCACACTTTTATTAATATGCATATTGTGGTGTTGTCAGCATCTCCTTGAGGGTATTCCCCTTTTCTTCTTGGTTGTATTTATAAACCCTGTGCAGAGTTGCTATGGTTTCTGTTCCCGCCAGCCCAATTTGTATTCTGTGCCGTTCTTCTCACCTTCACCATTTGGGTGACCTTTCCTTCACAAGGAAGATCTCATGCCATCAGCCTGTTCAGTCAGATGTCACGCAGCACGCTGTGCCAGAACACCAACAGCCAAGCAAAAGAGGGCTCTGTGGAACCAAATCATCTGCAAAGGCTGTCTGAGAGACGGATAAACAATGGTAATTATTTCAAAACAAATTGGAAACAGAAAGCACAGCCCAGCAGTGCAACAAAAAGGAAAGCCACAAAAAGAAGAAATTGCAGATCTCTATGTCTTGAGTACTCTTGTATCTTCCTCTAGGCAAATATTTTTCTACCTTTGTTGCTCTCCAAAGTCAAGTTCAAAAAAAATCTTAATTCCAAGACATTTTCTTTTACCTCAGTTAAACAACGTATGCAAGGGGCTGCTTACAAATGAGAGCAGTACAATTGCAGACTGGCAGTAAAAATTTCTCTCTTTGTCAAACAAATATGCTAAATATTATATTTATGTGAGTTTGCACAAAGCTACACTGCTTACTGTACAGCCAGAAAGTCAGGCAGGATGCATGATGAGTTTTTCCAAAAGTAAGCATCCTGGGAATGGGTTCAGTAGCTTCATGTACCAACCAGATTGTGGGATCTCCAAAATCCTAATCCAGACACTGAACAAATACCCCATGGCTTCCCCCTAACTCTGAGAAAAATGTTCCTACTGCAGCAAAGAAATCACAAATACTCAAAAGCCAGGAAACAGACCTTGGACATGATACAACCCTAACTCTGCCTGTGCAGTAAGAGTGGGAACATCCCCGCATTTTGCCACTTCATAACAAAGCCAGAACTTTTGCTGTGGCACCTCCTTGGCTGCTGAGGTAAGTTTTCTTGCATTGGGCAACCAGGCTAGCCAAGATATTTCATCCCATCTGCTTTTAATGCTAGCTGGGGCCTTCTAAAGAAGAGGAAAATTGCCTGAATGTTTCCAAGACACCTTCCTGCAGACGTGTAGAAGCATGGCACTTCAGCTGATCAAAAGAAGCTCCGTACTGCACAAAAAGAAATTCCTCTGTCAGAGGTACTGAACGACAATGCATGCGCTAGTGGGGCACAAGAACAGGTCACAGCCTGCGCACAAATCCAGGCAGGCCCAGAAGGCAGAGAGGATTGCATGTTCCTGTGCTGTGGGATGCAGGAGCACCCCTTGCTGCTGCAGCTCTGTTAGCTGTGCTGTGTGTGGCAGCTGGGCTCTGAGCACGGGTGACCGAGGCATCCACAGCGCTGGCCAAGCTTCCGCACGGCGCTCCGGTGAAACCCGTGCACGCACAGGGAAATGGCCGTGTGAGATGTTCTCTGAACGGCACCTGCACCCTGCCTTTGCACCAGCAGTCTGCTTTATTCCAGAGCACTACTGAGCCTACTCTGGTCCATCCTGGCTCCACTCTGCCCCACAGTGCTGCCTGGTGGACAGCTCACCCTCACAGAGGGGGCTCAGCTGCTGCCGTGGTGCTGACACCCACTTTACACCAGTGTGCAGCCCCAGGACTCCCAGACTCCCTGCCTGCTCCCTGGCAGCACGGTGTCACCTGCATGTTCATCATGTACTTATTTGTCACTACAGCTCTGAAAAAACATCTCAATTCACAATCTGATTGAGGGTGGCTTATTCCAATAACAGATTTTAAAAAAAAAAATCACTATTTCTTCATCTGCTTCCACGTCCTCATGCCTGGATTGTACCATGAAGCCTTTGCTCATTTGATGGAGGACTTCTTTACAGCACACAAGCTCTTTCATCTTTCCCATGATCAGAACAAGTCAGTGCACCTTTGCTATTTCAGTCCCTTTTAAACTGGGGTGAGCTGAACTTTCTATGCAAAGATTTGACCTCTCCTGAAATCCCCTGATCAGCATTTCCCTTGCTCACTCTTTCATGTTTTAAGCATTATGAAACACTGGAAACTCCATTCTTTCATAAGAAAGTTAGTGAGAAAATTCAAATAATCAACTCAGTCCCAGGAGACATGGGGCTTCTTTCCAAGTTTGAAAGCTCCTTCCTAATAGAAGTTTTGCTCTTGAAAGTCTCCTGGTTAGCAGGCAGATGATGATACAGCTTCTTTGGAGCCTGATTATACTTCCAGCCCAGGGGCAAGTAATAAAAAAGGCTGCCTGGCTCTGTGAGGTCTGAATCAGGTGCTAACACTGAACATCTGCTGGGGCTTCTGCTCTCCCCTACCCTCCCTTCCATGTGCTGGGCATTGGAGTATTCTCCATTTTATAGCTTGTGGCAACAAAAGGCCAATTTAGAGAGAAAGCATTGCTGATAGCTTTATCCAAAATCCCCATATTTTAACTGCTATCCATCCAGGACTTTGGTGGAAGAGCACCATGACATACTGAAGAGATCCACACTGTATGGCAGCCTTTGGAAGCAGTTAGCAGCAAAGCACTCCCAGCCCCACTCGAGCGAGACGGACAGACTCTAGCGCACATTTATTACTTCATACAACCAGACCGCGTACTGTACAAAAATTAACAGTGCCACCCAAGAGGACCTTCACAGATGTTTAGAAAATACATAAACACAGCTCTAAGACATGTTTTTTTGTGTAATCTAGGTACAACTGCTGAAGCAGCACCTATTGTGTGTGCATACCCCCTGTGTGTGGATGATCTCCATACACAAACAGGCACAGACTGAACAGTGTCACAGCAGGCTGTGACATGCTGGACATTGCTCTCCAAGGAATCCAGTCTCCTTAACAAGGGTTTCCAGCACTGGGACGTGAACCGGTCTCACTTTGAGCCATAAGCCCATCCTTTGGGCCTTGAGCTGCTGCCACTGTTGGCTGGCCTTCCTTCCTGGGCTGCTCCTTGCTGCACCCACTGCTTGCTCCCCTGGAGTTAACAACCCAGTCTCCAAGCTCACCTAGGTGGGTGTGCCAGCATGACTCGATAAAGATGACAGGGTCAGCATGCAAGGATAGCTCCCTTTCCTGAAAGGTCTCAGCAGGGAAGGGAGGTCTCAGCCTTCTGGGGTGCCTGATCTAGCAGGGCCCAAGTCACGTCAGTAATTCTGGGGCACAACCATCAGAAACATCTACTGCCTGAAAACTCTCACTTTTCTGTTCTGCAGCTGTAAAGGATGAATGGACCCGTACAGTAAAAACATTTCTGGGGTAGAAACCATGACCTTTAGAGAAAAAGACTGCAGCACCTGAATAATTCCTACTAAAGGGAATGCCCAGTACAGTGAATTTTGCTTAACAGCCAAGAGGGAAGTTTAACGCCTTAAGGTAGAAGGTTCATCAAAGAGCCAAGGACTGACATTTTCACCAAGTGCTGTGCTTTCATCAGTAGGAAGGTCACTGCTGCTTGTAATGTGAAACTGAGCAAACTGGAACTTAGACCCTACTAAGCAGTAACTCCTGAATGCCAGCACTGCTCTTGGGCAGTTGAGCAGAGTTGTTAGTGGCATTCATGTCAACTCCCTTCTACATCTTGGCTGCGTAGATTAAGCTCCTTGGGCAGCAATGGCCTCTTTGTGAGAGACCCTGTAGTGCTACTCTGGTACTGGCCACAAAAGACTTGTGTAGCTTCACTAATGTCTACTGCAGTCAAACAAAGAAACAGACAAACAAAAAAAACCCAACAACTGTCCTACAGCTTCATAAGGAAAAAATGACAGTCCGTAGCAATATTTTCAGAGCTTTCTCTCTATAGTGGTCCAGTTATTCCCTGGGAGGAATTATAGAATCATTAAGGTTGGAAAAGATCTCTCAGATCATCAAATCTGACCATTAATCCAGCACTGACATGTCAATATGCTCACATGTCCCAGGTGCGACATCTACACATTTTTTAAACACTTCCAGGGATGTAATTTTACCACTTCCCTGAGCAAACTAAGTATGTGATTTCAGGTTTTTTGCCTTAGTGGTTAACATGTCATGGCCCAAGAGACCAGTGTGCTGAATTACTGACATTACTGGGAGCTTCTGAGGACTAACAAAAAGGAGCAAATAAGGATCTATTCCCATTCAATAACGGGTGCTGTGTGTTTCTTACTCCATCACATCTGTCTGTGCCACTAGGTGTCTTTGCAGGGAGCTGAAACATTGAATACCTACCAAGCTGCAGGGCAATTCACATCCACCAAACTACTTAAGGCCTAGCTCATAACATCACCAAAAACCTGAGATCTTGCATGTTTCTCTGTAAATCTGGTTGTTTGACGCTCCTTCACATTCCTATCACAGGAAGACTTCATCTGACAGACTCACAGCAGGCTGAGTCTGTGAAAAGCTCATACAGTCAGTGTGACAGGATTACTCTAGAGAAGATTTCTCATGTTAGACTTTAGAACCCTTCTCATCACTGCACTTGTATGAAGGAAGGGAAGAAACAGTTAAGAACATAAATGAGATCATACAGATAATTTTCTAAATATTACTAAACCAGTAATATTTATACATTTTTTAAGAAACCTTCACAAAAAAAATTAACTATGAACACTTCTACAACATAAAAAGGTAAAAGTCCCTAGTAATTGCCTAGTAATGCTAGGGAAAAGATCAAATCTAATCAGAAGTGGAAGTTCACAGCCATTTGTTCTAAAGACAGCATTGTGTTTTAAATACAGCCTTGAAATTAGTGTCTTTATTAAACTCTTAGTACTAAAATAATAATAATAATAGTAATAACAATTACATTTAGATAGCACAGACAAAGCACAAGATGATACATAAGCATAAAAGTGCAAGTTATAACCTAAGTCAAAGTGCCTACTGGTCAAACAGGTCCAAACGAAGTTCAGAGAACAAGCATAAACCAGACTAAGAACAATCCATGCCTTTTTCTTTCCTTCTCATTCCCATCAGAAGTCATTGCAGGTAACACTGATAACAGTCTGAAGTGACATCAGTTCCAAATGGGAGTACATGAGAGGAGAGTCAGGCCCATGTCTTGATGGAAAACTGATCCTCATTTCCTCTGTGTAATGCCAATTAATCCACAGGCTTTGCTCTGAATATCCGAGCACAGATAGAAAGAATAATAACTTGGATGCCACATTCAAGGGAGGCAGAAGCAGCACTTAAGAGCAGAGGGGGTACAGCAAGCCCTTGTCTGTTCCTCTGGAGTCACATCCCCCAGCTGATTTATTGACTCCAGCCATAAAAAATGACTAGGAGGAAGTTAAGTAACACTGCTCTTCATTTGAAAAATAAAAAGACTACCCTCAGAAGTATGATTTTTCCCTTCCTGTTTGTCTTATTTTTCTACTTCAGAGGTAAAATATCGTTTACAATATCAGCTCATTATTGTGTTCATTCCCTTTAAAGGCAAACAGCTTAAAAGATCCTGTCACCAGAAAGGGGTGGGATGAGGGCAGAGGCAGACCTTTTATTAAACCTTTAAAAAGATTTCTAACTCATTTTGAAAGTGAGAACAACAAAAGCCATAAAACTCCAGCAAAGGAAAGCTGTCACTGAGATTAAGCAGATCCAAACTCTGCCATCCATTTTTCATACTTCTCCAGGTCTGCAGCAGAAACAGATTTGGAGATTTTCTTCAGAGCCAGCTCAAAGTCCCCCTTGGTAACCGGCATCTGAAGCTCTTCTTTAGAAAGTGCACGAATCTCTTCTGGAGTTAAGCCATTAATACGTCTTCTCATTGCCATTAGAGACGCATCCCTGGAAATACAGGACAATGCATGGGAGCTAATTGCTAGCAGGATGTGCTGCAAGCCTATGAATTTTGATTGTATGCTCTTGCTAGAAACCACTGGCAGGAACACTTAAGACAGCATTTATTTACCATAGAAGATGCAGTTCACATCTTTCATAGCTTCCATGTTCCCAGATCACTACATTAATTCAACGTAAAGAATGCATTGGCACCAAAACCCATTTAAGCATATGGTAAATGTGCAGAGATAATTAAAACTATAAAACTGAAAACCTTTTACAATGATTCATGGAAATGAAATTTTACAACTTTAGAGCAGAAAAGGGCAGGGTGGGAGACAAACTCAAATACTTTTTTTTTAAAGTAATCTGGATTTTTACACTGCATTCCTTTAGACTTCAACTTTCTCCCTGCAGTGTAGCCACAAAGGACAGTCAGCAAGGGTTAAGAGTGCAGCCCAGCTGGACTGCCTGCTTGTCCATAGCACCTGGATGTGTGAAGGGCAGAGCAGGAGCATCGGACACAGCATCACATGGCCCTGCAGTGCTGAGGCCATGGGTGCCTCATGCTCTGCCTGCTCTGTGACTCCTCCCCAGCTCAGATCCTGCCAGCCTGGCCCATCAGCTTGAAGAACACTGCTCATTTTCTCACACTGTTGCCCACAGGCAGTCTGAAATTACATTTTCTTTTTCCCCAGGTTTTTCCCAGCAAGGGATAACACAAGCCTTAGGGAGAAAGGTAATTTCACTACTACGTGACACACACCGAGTTTTCAAATCCATGGAGTGATTTCACATTTCCAGAAAGGCAGCAGGGGGAGAAGAAAAAAGATTCCCAAGCCATACTCTTACAGGATCAGGTTCTCTTGACAGGATTCTTAAGAGACATAGACTTCCTTCAGATAAGTTTCTTTAAATACCTATCCTTCACCAGGAAATACTGATTTGTCAAAAATGAAACAAATTGTGGGAACAGGACAGAAATAAATTAAATACTAATATTATAATCTATATCCCCCTTGCACCTAGAAGATTCAGGTAGACACCAAGACTCAGCTGCACTGGGGCTATCCAAACATGCAGCATATAGAAGTCCCAAAGAAGCATTCTGTGAAAGGAATTTTTTGGATTATGGAATTCTAGCTCTTAAACTAATGGGATTTTTTAAAAAGCCCCAACAATCTGCTTTGCACTACAGTAACAAATGCAGACAACTACAGTAAATGCAGCCAATTGTAACATGAGATTTGCTCAGATAATTTTTTTCACTTCAGATCCAAGAAAACCACATCTCACAGAAAGACTCCATGGTATTTGGACCACTCCACATGACAGTAATACATGAATACAGTAAATAGATTTGGGCCTCAAACACAGACACTGTGAGCATGCTTCAGCTGTAGTGAATATTGCCTTTTATCATATAATGCAAATGATGACTTCCCATGCAGTTCTATTTGCAAATTAAGGGCAATGAGATACCTGCAAACATTAGTGATGTCAGCACCAGAATAGCCTTCAATCTTCTCAGCAATTTCTTCAAGGCTGATATCAGGATCTAGTTCTACTTCCCGAAGATTAATCTTGAGTAGTTCTGCTCTGCCTTTTGCTAGAACATAAAAATATTTGTTTGAAGACAGGCAAGAGTTACATAAAAAAAAGATATAAACACAACTTAGATTTTCTGTGAAAAGTATGACCAAGAGAGTTCAATATAAGAAAAGAGACAGAACAAGTCACAGTGAAGTGTGCAATCAAATACAGTAAAGTATTTGGTTAAATGCAGTATATTAAAACAGCATGGTTGAGAGATATTTGTCAAAGTGATCTGTCACTGAAAATGTCTGTTATGTCTCAGGTGATAAAGCATTTGATCATAAAGATATTACCCAAGGGCACAAAAGCACAATCCTACAAATTTCTGTTTCTTCTCACATCCCTTTGGATCCACTCCCTATTCGAGGGTTTGACTGCATATTATTCATAGAGTTTCATTAGAAATACAATAAGGATTCTATTAAAAGAGCTTCAGACAGCACAAACCCCTTAACAACAGGCTGAACTTTAAGCATATGTTTGAGCAGTTTATTCAGTTGGGACCCAAGAAATCAGCTGAAGCCTGATAGGAAACAGACACAATAATACAACAAACCTATATTAATATATTTTCAATAGCAGTGTCCTGGTGTCCCACTTTCCTACCCAGACACAGTGTGCACACAGTGATAGCCAGCTGTGTAAATGAGCACTTATGCAGTCAATTAACAATTTCTCTTGCAGAGGGCACGTGCATATGTGCATTTGGGTACACACGTTAAGCAGCCTAAGCTTGTAAGAGGGAATTCACATTTGACAACTTAGGCCTCTGTGTTACTGTGCACAAGTGTGGGAAAGAAGAGGATGACTGGTTTCTTGGCTTTCACTGCACAGGAAAAATATGCCAGCTCAGCATCTTTATTCCCCAAGTGATCAATTTTTATGACCTATAAAGAAGGACAACCGCAACAGAAGAAGTAGCAGTAGGAAAGGCTAAAAGTCCTAAAGAAATGTCCAATAAAACACATTATGTTTTATTCATTGATGTCCCTAATTCTTATTTTTTTAACTTTTGGGGAAGGAGAAATGCAAAAGAAAATAGAAGGCTTCTCTAGAGCTGCTGGTTTTGTGTGCTTTGCAGAACTGTCAAGAGCACAGAGTTATCCATTACACTCAACTGGCACTAGCTATAAAATGGGGATTTATTATTTAGAGGGCACAATGTACACACAGCACACCTGCAGAGAGTATCCTGCATCAGAGAACATTCTTCTAATTGTTGCTGTGGGGCTAAGCAAGTCTGTGCAGCATTTTGAAAACTAAACACTACAGAATATATGCTTGCATCAAATTCCACAATATACAGGTTCATATATGCTACCATGCCACTTTTTCAGTTAAAATGCCTGACTACATCACATCACACAACACATTACAAATGCATCACTCAGACTTGCCCAGAGTAGCACAACATTCTTACTTGCAGATTAGATACAACAGAAACTAAGACTGGAAATAAAACCAGATCGCATCTCCTATGTTGTCCAGGGTGTAATACACTGTGTTAAAAAACAATCTGGTTTAATTAGAAACAAGAGGAAGAGCTGATAGCATTTTAAACTAATTGGTCATAAAGACAGGCATCCTGTTAGGGGCTGTTACTGCCTGTAAGCAGCAAAGACAAGCTGTAGAACTGTTAAGTGTCCTTAGACCTGCTGAACTCAATAACAACCACTGTCACCATGGACATGCATCTTGTTATCTTGAGTGCTCATGCAGGGAGATGTGGCATCCACTGTACCAAGAAGAAAGGGAGCTATGCAAACTTCAAGTGATAGGAATCTCAAAATTAATAGGACAGGTGAATGACAGCTAGGAAAGACAATACAAGCTGAGATGTCTTAGGGCAGGAAAGCAATCAGCCTGCTGCATTCTGAGTGACTGGAAGCACAGTAATAAAGGCAAGCAAGCAGTGATTTGCAATGAACTAAGCCTGTAAGTGAAAATTCATGGATCTGCTTCTTTCCATTTGTCTGCAAGGGCATGGAGTGCATTTGCAATATTTGTGAACATGTCCAAAGGCTGCCTTTGATGATCACTCAAGGGCTGACTGTTAAACATTTAAAATAATTCCACGCTCATTAAAACTAACTCTCTTTCAAAATATAAGAACCCATCAATGGCTTGCAATGAAATGCCACAGCTCTTTGTTTTCCAGCCCCCAAGCAAGCAGCATTTCTCTTTTTTCCACTCTCTTTAAAAATAAAGCGATCCAGACAAATGATTAACCCCTGAATTACACTGCTCATCACTAAACCATCAGGATTCCTTACAAGCACAACAGTCCTGCAGTTATCCTAAACTCATCTTGTAAAGAGAGGAAAGGAAAATGGCCTTATCAAACACACCTGTGGGCAATGGTATATAAATCCTCTTCTCCAGTCTCCGTCGGAGAGCTTCATCAATGTCCCAGGGAAAATTTGTAGCAGATAATACCATAACCATCTTGGAAGGGTCATCGTTTTCCAGAGCACCACCTACCCCTGCAAGCACAACAGTTCAGAGCAATTTTACCCCAGAGCTCTTATTGATGGAGATGCTTGCTGAGAAACACTGCACAGACAAACATAGCCTGGACAAAGCTAAGCAACAGCTCTCTATAGTCCTGTGTCCCTTTCCAAACTTCCCATAGCTAGGTGTCACAAGAACATCACTATCAAAGAGAGAGGGACAGCTCATTATTTTGCTGAATAAGGGGAGGGCTTTCTTGGAAAGTGCTAATAGCACAGCAATATGTGAGTGTAGCCCTACTAGTCCCACTGACTGTGCTATCTCTGTTGAGTCTGGTCATAGAAGAAACAGGAGTCACTCAGCTTACCAAGTGAGGACTGCAAAGAGACCAAAAGCTTTCCTATCCTGAGCTTACCACAATGAACCTGCAAATTTGAGAACATTTAAAATAGTAGTTTATATACAGTAATTTATACAGCAGTTTATGATAGCTGCAATAGAAAGGTGGCTGTCAAACCTCTACACCATACAGTACTCCTCAGATGGTCACGCTTGTTGTGTGCAGCTGCACAAAGCAGGTACTACATCTGACTTAAAAGGGTAATATTAGCTGCCATCACAGAATACAGCAAAAGCAGACCTCACAATGGGGTTCCACAGTTGGAGAGTCTAGCAAAGGGCAGAATTTTGTTTAAACTGAATACAAATTAAATACCTGCATTAAATTTCACAAATCTCCATTATCTGCTTCTCGTGGAGTCTGTGTCTCTTTAATAAAAGCTTTCAAGTCACCCTAAAAATAGCCATTTTAGAAAAAATAAAGCAGAACACCCTTTTCAGTTATCTGTTGTTGAAAACTCCAAAAATACACTCATCTCAAGTTGTGTCTCATTTTTCTCTTATGCATAAAGCCAGGTTTTCCAGATGGCTCGAGTCTTTACATTCCCACCTGTAAAGAAACAGCATCCCAGCCCCGAAGCCAGATCTAAGCCCTTGTTACCATCCATTTGCACAAGCAGCTCTGACTTGACTCTGCGACTGGCCTCGTGCTCGTCAGACGTGCCTCTGCGGCTGCAGATGGAATCTATCTCGTCAATGAAGATTGTTGTTGGCGCATAAAACCGTGCCTTTATTCAAATGAAAACATCACCATTAAGGCTGCTCAACAAACACAGGCCCTCACCAGACCACAACCCAACCCTGCTAGGCATCTTCCCTGACTGTCACAAGGGAGGAATTCAAGACCTTGATTTACAAACTATCACATGCTGAGGTTTATTCACTTTAAATTCTACTCCTTGGGTCAGTGTTGGTTGGCTTGCCCCAGCAAATGACATTGAAAAGGGGAAAAGAAACACTACCACAATAGGATAGTCTTCTTGACACAATACAGGCAGTTTTCATGTCCAGGTTTTGGGCTGGTAAGGGTTAGAATAAGGGTCAGAAGGGAGCTCAGCAATCTCAAGAGACTCAGGTTTTAGCTACAAATATTACAGAAGTGCAGTGAGGGTCCCAGAGGTTCAGCCTACATGGACATGTCCTTCACACACCCTCCATGATGGACTCCATGCTCCCAACATGCTACTGCAAAGGCAGGAAACCAAGGGTGCTGTCCTTTCTCACCTTAATGAGCCCCAGATCACATCATGGAGGACGTACCATTTCAAACAAGAGGCGGACCAGCTTCTCAGACTCGCCTCTGTATTTAGACGTCAGTGTAGATGAAGACACGTTGAAGAATGTTGTCCCACATTCTGTAGCAACAGCTTTTGCTAGCATTGTTTTGCCAGTGCCAGGAGGACCAACCATCAACACACCCTGAAAGGTGAGAACAAAGGTAGTGAACAACAAATTAAGAAAACTTTGTCCTTGGTACTTTACACAACATCTCAATATGAGCCAAGATCTGGATTTAAATTAATAACATAATCCTCATCAGTGGAAAGCAGAAGACAAGTATCCTGCTTTTGAGTATAATGTGGAAGTGTTCTGCCATTTCTTCTTACCACTCCAATGGAGTCAGAACCACAAAAGCTAGTACCTGTTGCTTGTACCTAACACCTAGGAAATGGACAAGAGATTTACAGCCTTGTTCAGAATCAAACAGTAAGTTGTGTTTCCTCAGTAGAGACATTTTCTACAGAAAAACTTTCCCAAAATATCCTGACAATATGTGAATCTGGTTGATGTTTACATTTGCACAAGGGCATTCACTGAATACATCAGTTTGTTTTTTGCTTAATCTCCTGATCTCAATGTTCCTATGACCACACTACTGTATCATAGCAATTCCTGGATGAAACACCATCCTCATCACGCTGGATGACTGGACTGTACTGCTATTCTTATGTTACAGATAAGCAACTGTGGCTCATGTTGACTACTGTTTAGTCCCACAAAAGCCTAATCTGAACTCCAGTGATTATTCAGAAAGTTTTAAACTAGAAACAATTCTTATATCCACATCATCAGAGTAGCTTTCCATCTGTGGTCTCTGAAAGAAAGAAGCACACACATCTGCAGCTCAGCACATTTACCCATCATTACACAAACAGTTTTTTGGCTTTACACACAGTGCTCTCAGAATCCATGTTAAGATTGTATCACTGAGATGGGTTAATCACTCTTGATAATACTACCAAATACTGCCATCTTTATGGGTAGTCTTCCCAATCCTTTCAGCAGCAGCACTGGAAAAGGACAAAACACTGTTCCATGCTCTGCACAGTGCTAGTATAGGGCCCTGTGATTTTAAGTAAATCAGGGAAAATGTAGTGTTCAAGTAGCTTGGGGTTTTTCTCCCCCTCCCAATTGCAAGATCTTATTACATGCTAACAAGAGTTTCCTAAAATTGTACTGTATTGCAAGGGTAATCAAATTAGCTAGTGTTAGAATTGCACATCATAATGTGCTTTGCAATTAATAACTTACATAAAATGCCACAGCAATAAAATATCTGTTAAATGCAAGCCATATAGCAAATTAGATTTCATCTGTTCCTCACAAAAATATACTTGAAAAAGCACAAAGAATGACATGGAAGAGATCTATAAAAACAAATCAACCGGGAATGCAATTATTCAAAAATGTCCCATTCAAAAGCAATAGCCTCTCTGTATTCCATTTTCCATTAACTCTTAATACCTTTATTGCCATTTAATACTTAGCTAATGCAAGCTCAACATACATTCATCGGTAAATTAAATCAGAAATGTTCACATGCCATCTCTACAGCTAACAGTCCAAAGTCACTCCTCAGGCTGCTCAAGGTTTCCTAAGCTCCAGAGCAGCAAGCATAAAAAGTAAATGGACTCTCTTTTCTCCCCGAGAACACTCAGACATTCTGATTTGAGATGCTGCACAGTTATACTGATATTACAACAATATTGCAAATACAGCCCTGGAGTGACTGGGTGAAAATTACTCAGCCTGTAATATGCAGGTCAGAGATGACTTAGTGTTCTCTCTGACTTTCAAATGTGTTCATTTAATATTTTTTTAAAAAGCTTTACCTCAATTCAAATCACATTCAAAGCATGTGTTTGATAAACTGTGTTTAGTGCAGGAGATGGTGATACAGGGAAGTAATGACATTTTTGGGATATTCGTTCAATTCTCCATTATTCTGGAAGGTCAAATCCTGGCTTCAGGTACACATGCAAAAAGTGAAGCCCATCCATTGCTTTGCACCTCCTGCTAAGTATTATTACAGGAAGCATTACCTTGCACATGATACTGGTGACATTATACATGTGCATAACACAGGTGCAAAGCAGCCACACCAGGTGTAAAGCCAGGGGGAAAGTAAGCTCTCTGGGGATAGAGACAATAGAAATATCAGTTTAAAAAAAAAAAAAAAAAAAAAAAAAAAAAAAAAAAAAAAAAAAAAAAAGAACTTGAGTTCACAGCAAAACAAGACAAAAAAAAAAAAAAAGAAAAAAAAAAAGAACTTGAGCTCGCAGCAAAACAAGATGTGCGTGGCTGCAAGCAGAAACACATAGGATCAAGTTGCTCTTTCTGCAAACTAAGAGGCTGGCGCTTACTATTTAAAATCCTTGACAAACACAAAGACTTCTTTATTCTTCCTCTAAGGCTCTATTAATCCAAAGTATTCCAATAAGAAGCTGAAATGCACCGCAGGGAGTAAGCGTTTTGATGAAATCACTGCAGGGTTACTTCTTGTTGTTGTAACAATCACTAGCAGAGCAGTGGGAAGCACAGTGAGCAACCAGGCTTTCTTGGCACAAAACATTTCAGAGAAACAGAAAGAGCAAACCCATGGACACTCAGAAACCCGTGGCTGCAACTACACAGCACCTGTGTTGAATCAGGGAAGACAGCTGGCTCCTTCAGACAAGGCACAGTTCTCTGAATACAAGCACAAACTGTGAGGGCTGACTTGGGAATTGTTCTCAGGGGAGTCTGAGCATCCAAAACCAGCTTTGGCTGCCTTTTTCCCTGAATTATTGTCCTGAATTCCTAGGCTCAACAAATGCCTGCTGCTACACTGATTACTGCAAGAAACAGCCTTCCCTTCAATACTTTTCATCCTTATAGCACAGTCAGAGGTCAACAGTAGGGAAAATACATGCTGTTCTGTGTGAAAAATAAATTCATGAGAGTTACAGCTTCACAAGTCACCAGGGAAAAGGCTAACAATGAAGACTCTTCATAGCCTTGTCAGAAATCAATTTGCATTTCAGACTGAAGAGAGGAAATAATCTTAGAATTAGAATAATCTTTTCCATGTCTACAACCACCTGGTTTTCAGAGGTGACACTGCTCAGGAGGAAAAAAGGACCAAGCTCCTTTATCCACTGACACAACACTTGGAGACAAGGTCAGTGGCATTTTTCACATTTCCTGCAGTCTCCTGAGATACCTGCCTTAAAGACAGATGTCCACTACATCCTCTATGCATGCTAACTGGCGAAAAGAAAGCAGAGCAGATCTTTACTCCATTAAAAGATTTTGAACACTAGAGAGATGGGGCCCTCATAGTCTATAACAAGAGTATGGATCAACTTCCTCTATGGCAAGAAGAGAAGAAAGAGATTCAGCTGTCCAAAATACACTGAAATCTCACCCTGCACATGTAACCCACAACATCTAGGCTCTGTCCAAGATGATAGCTCAGTTAACCCTAAGGTTAACCACTAGGCCACTGGTACTGACCACAAGCACTCTAACTCCAAAGGTTGGTGCTAGGTTTGCACTGACTGTAGGTTTGGGCTCCCTCCCTGCAACTCCCTAAAACCTCTGTGAGCAGCCCTCAGGCAGCAGTCTCCCAGCTCCTGCGGGGTCTGACCTAAGTATAAGCCAGGGAAGCACAAGGACCAATCAGGAAAAGACAGAACAAGTGTTAGTAGAGCAAGATCCGACACACGCTGCTGAACCAGCATACTAAACAGGAAACTACTCACACACACAGCATTCCCTACACACGCCACTTCCTTCCACACTCAGAATTTCTAACAGACATTTTGCAACAGTCTCTTTTCCCCAGTAATGCTTCTCAGTAACCAAAAAGGCCTTGTGTTGTGACTAGGTATTCCCCAAACAAGCATCAATCCATTCCACACCAGAAGCAAAATAAATACTGTTTGCTGTTTACAGAAATGCTCACCAAACTCCTCCCTCCTCTTCCTTCTTAGCTCTAAGCAAGTCCCAGATTGGGCTTACTTCTGGTCAATCCGCCTAGTTCAGTCCTATATCCTTCCTGCTGCCCTGCGTGCAACTCCTCCTACTCTGAATTTCTCACTCCAGCTGCAACTATGCCCAGTTGCAAATGTAAGCACAAAACTAAGTCACCAGACTGGCCCCCTCTTTCCTTGCTTCTTTATACCATGCAGGCTGCAGTTTGCAGTCTGAGTGAGAGATAGTTGAAACATTTGGAGAAAAACAGTCCAAGGATTGCTTTCTTCTGGGAAGTGATGACAAATGGACACCATAAGCCTATGTAGAGCTATCTGTTAAGCATTTCTGCTTCAGTTGATATAATCTGTTTGCTCACATCTACAGGTTGGCATAAAGAAAGCATTATAATATCAACAAGCTATAAGTGAGTAAATAAACAGAAAATACTGTTTACTCTAAGATACACTTCCAGCTGTTTCTTTCAGTGCCTTTTAAATGAATCATTATGAGAGGATTTAACAAAAAAATTCATGATCTTTTCTTTTTAGCCTTTGCTACAGGCATCCACACATTACAGCAGGAGACTCACATAGCTACAGCTTGCCATTTACAAAAACACCACATAAATTCTCACCTTCCAAGGTCTTCTGATCCCTTTGAAAAAATCAGGCATCCACATTGGAAGAACAACAGCTTCTCTTAGTAATTTCTTGGCTTCTTCCAAATCCGCTATGTCATCCCTGTGTAAGATGAAGAAACTTCTATAAGATTCTTATACAACTATATTTCTTCTATTTTTATACAAGAGAAATAGAAAAGCTTTTCACTTAGTACCATTTCTTTTAATATGCAAGCATATGTCTCATGACAGCACTCCTATCATACTGTGACCTAAAATTGAATCCACTTTTGGAAGACAGGGAAAAAATTATTTTCAACTCAAGTTACCCAGAGCTGCTTAATTAAAAATTGTTTTGGACAATGTGAACACCAAAGCAGTATCTTTAAAGATCTCTGGAGCGTATGTTAATTTCAGCAGTACCTGTAATGAGTGTACTGCACTTAATATCAATTAGCAACAAAAGCTTAACTTTAATCAAATTAATAAACTGTTAAAGCAAAAGATCTCATTTTTGCCTGTCTGTAGAAGATTATCTTGTCTCCCTATTTTAGGAGTTTGAAGATGGGTAATTTCTCTCCTTTCTCACACTAGCAAAAACACTTGAGAAAATCCTCATACCAATGAATGCTTGGATTCCTTGACACAATGTCTCTTTCAAGAGCTTCGATCAGGTCTTTGTCATAACCCGCTCCATCAAATTTTGGAATTTCCCCATCACCAAATTCCTGGGGTATTTTCTTTCCCTAGAAGTGAAAATCACACAGACCCATAAGAAAATTACACAACTGACACACTTCCTGGCCAACCAAAGGCATGAATGCAGGAACAGCCTCACAAAGGTGAAGACCAGAGCACATATTGAAGATGCTACACTTGCCACCCTACCTGTCAGAAGTAAACATCTGACACTATCATCACCGAAAAGGAACAGGGAAGCTGTCACACGTGTTGTCTTTGACAAAGGAGAACCAAGATTCTCTCCCCTTGTTTCATTAAATCCTTCCTGCCCTGCAATATGTGCTTTCCTAAACTACAAACTATCCATGTCTCGCCTCTCATTCACACGCCAGCTTCATAAACAATTTAAATGCTCTTCAAAGGTTGTATTTATTTAAAGGCTGCACCAAAAGCCCCAAAGGAGCTCCAAAGACACTCAGGTTTCATAATTTTTGCAGTACACCAATCCTACATCAGTGATGAAGCCACACTGCCCCAAATAGCCCAGAGCTTCTGGTTAATACTTTCACATTGCCGTTCAGTTTAGTGGGGTGAAGCAACATTTTCCCTTTGAAGCGTCAGGGCTCACGCTCCTCCTCCCTCAGTTCTGAAGGAAATCGCTTCTCCTCCCACCATTCAGGGTGCCTGAAAAGCAGCTGCGCCGGTTTAACGGAGGGGGCTGAGTAGGGAGCTACTTTAGGACTCTTAAGTCAGCTTCTAAACACTATCAGCAGCAAGTTAAAGAATCCCAGCTGGCTGGACAAAAGCATCCTAGACGAAGGCGGGTTGAGAGGCAGCTGGAGACACACAAATAACCTCGCAGTGGAAAAACAAAAAGGCAGCGATTACACCCCTCCCAGTTGCCGTTTGCCCACCACGACTTGTGAGGGAGTAGTTTATCTTCCCACTGCTTTTATTTCTTGCTTCCAAGCGAACTCTTGTGTTGTTTAGTACTCCTAACTCAGCTTTTTGCAATGGAAACGAAGCTCAGAGTTGTGTTTAAGCAGAAAGCTGGCGTAAAAATGTAGTGGTCTGGTGTAAAAAGGAAACGGCGAAAAGACACTCTGTGGAGTTTTCAAGATTTTGGGAGAGATAAAATGGAATCCAAATGTAACCATTAAAAAAAAACAGTAAGAAGAAGAAAACAGGACAATGAAATGAAAGGTATTTGCTGTCTGCTACATACTCCCCTTGTTCTGCAATGGACTGGCATTCCTAGTAGAAAATTTTTTTCTGCACATCACAGAACAATTGGTTTATCTTGTTGCGGTTGGGTTTTGTTTTTCCCTCAGTGAAACCGAGTTAAGGCAGGAGTTGAAGAGCAGGAGCAGGGAGCCAGCCGCTGCAGCACGCTGGGGCACGGGCGGCCCCCAGAGCCCCCAGCCCGGCGGGCAGACGGCGAGCTCAGCCCAGCGGAGCGGAACAGAAACCCAAAAATCTAAGGGGGAAGGGAAGGTCCGGGGCCGGGAGGGTGCCGCAGCCCCGGGCCGGCCGCGGGGCGGCAGCACGGCCCCGATCCCGGCCCCGATCCCGGCCCCGATCCCGGCCCGATCCCGCCGGACGTGCTGCGCCTGGGACCGCTAGTTCTCCTGCCCCTGCGGAACGTCTCGCCAGCGGAACGATGGAGAAGGGCGGCCAGCGGGCAGACGTGCTCTCAGCATCACCTCGGCTGTCAATGTAGTGACAATGAATTATTCTTTTTTCTTTTTTTTCCTTTTTGAGCCCCATTCTGTAATTAAACCAAGATTTAAAGTAGTTGTAGTTTTCACAAGTAATAAGATTATTAATGCTGGTCCCAAATTGATCCAATCTGCAATTGCCAGTCAGCAGATAAGTGAGCATAGACTAGAAATAATGATTTTTTTTCTTAAATGTCACCTGAAACTAGGCAGCAGAAGTAAGCATAATTTTTCCAGTCATCTCTTCAGGTATTGCTTTCACAAAATAGCTTTAAATAAAGTTGCTGTGATGGCTTCTCTCTGGCAGGTATGCCAACAGATAGGTATACAGGGCTGCAAAAATCTACTCCCACCCTTGGCAATCCCATCTCATCATTTCAGGGAACCAATATCTGTCTTAAACATTTAGAAATCAGCTGTCCTTTCCATCAGGAAGGGCTATTAGACCTGCTGGACACACTGGAACAAAAACCTTGTTTCCAAAATTGATGTTATTTCTACTCTTGTACTAAGTTTCTGCAATAGTTTCAGCAGTCCACCACACTGACACACTTGCATCAGGTTTGTGCTCTCCCTTCATTTACCAAACTAAATAAGTCTTTATTTGGAACATAAGCTGAACGTAATTATCCATTCACTTTGGCAACGCTTTTTTTCCTCTCCGTCCTAATGTTAACATATCTTTCTTGAGCGTGGTTGTACAGAAAATACTTCAGCTGTTTTCTCAGCAGATCCCCCTACAATGGCACAGGTATCTCTTCTCCCTGCTGGTAACAGCTCAACAACCTAGGATTTTGTTTACTGGGATTTTGTTTACATTCACATCCACACCATTATCATACTGCCCCCCATTTAAGGCAATCTCAGCAGATTAATCACATAGAATAATCCTGAGGGCTGTAATGGTCAGAACTGGACTCTGAAGACACCTTGCCTTCCTGCAGATTCTTCCCACTGAATAGAAATGCCAAATAACCACTGTGCCTCCTACAGCCAGCCCTTCCCATCACCACCAGGAAAGGTAATGTGTCAAATGAAAGTTCAGCCTGATCCAGTTTCTGCTGATACATCCAAATCCGTCTTCTCCTCTCCTGCTGAGCTCCCAGCTTCTAGCAGAAATTCTTGTTACAGTTTTCAAGAACACAGCCTGCTGCTCTGCACCTCTGAACATTATCCCATTTCCATGACTCCAACACAGTCATCCAATTCTTCCTGTCCAACAGACTCATTTGCCTTTTGTAGTGATGGTGCTTCCCAACTTGGTGTCATGAGCAAATTGTCAGTGCATGCCTCCTTTTTGTGGCAAGTTAAATTGGCACAAAAATGTTAATTTAAATACAAAACAAGAGTCAAAAATTATTTGCCACTTGACTGCCACTTCTCCTTTCAGTACTGTTTGTTTATTTTCCCCTTGCTGCCCAATCCCACTTTAAAATTCCTCTACACCACACACTAGATTAACAAATTGCTTCCCATGTGGTATCCGGGTAGATTGACTTCTTTCTATAAGACATTAACTAGAGCTCTAAAGAAATCCTGGCAGAGGCAACACCTTTGCTAAAGAAACCACATTTCATTCTATTCCACTTTTCAATTAGTTCCAAGTCTTTAGCTTTTTGCTTTTCATCCACTCTAAATTTGTTGTAAAACATATAACAATTAACAACTCCAGTTGCCTGGATCGCTTTTCCTTTCCCCTTCTCAATAGAGGCATTGTCAACACAACTCACCATTCACATGAGACAGCATCAGACTCAGTAAATTTTACTGTAAAAATGTGCTCCCAGCCCTGCAATTTCACCCAACAGTTCTTTCAGTGTTTTCAGATGGAGATTATGCAGCCTTCCAGTCCCAATGCATGGAGGTCTGTGCTTTCACCTAAATGCAACTGTCTCATCTCATGTCACAGCCGGTGATGCACAGGAGGATAACCAATCAAAAATAACTTAATTTTTTAAGTCATACCTTCATTAATGTTAATACTCACTTCACTGATATGGCTGTGAAGCCATTGGCTGTTTCATATCCTTCATAATGTTTACTGTCCTTATCCACTGACAGTCTAAAATAATCTAAAGAGTACTCCTAAAAAAGTGTTCCACTACTTAGATATGGTATGATGCCATTTGTAGAAGACATATTGGGAGCATTCATGCTGCCTCTTTAAACTGAACTATTAAACAGAGGCTAAAACTCTTGGTAATGCTCCACCAGAAGGTACCCTGAGAACAAGCCTAATAATTTCCAGTGGAACTAAGAAAAAAACCTTGAAAGCAGTATTTTAGGGGGGAAAAAAACCTTGAAAGCAGTATTTTAGGGGGGAAAAAAAGAAGACATATAAGGATTTAGTGGACAGACACAATCTGGCGGGCTTAGTTCAAAATTATTTTATATAGCACTAAAAAAGGTAATTTTACTGGCATAGTTAGGTTAAAATTACCTATCCCAAGATGGTTACTGTCAGAATGAAAAGATGTTAAGGTCTAGAGAGGAGAAACATTGAAAGAAGGCATTTGTTTCAAGTGAGACAGAACATTTCTGAAATATATGTACTATACTTACATTTACCTTGAAAAAAATATGGCTTATGTTGTGGTATTATAGCCAGGACAGCATGCAACCTATTACACTGAAGTCTTAGGAATGGAAATATCTTAGGAAACATCTTAGGAAATGGAGAGTTCATTACATGTTCCAGGTAGTCCTATCCTAGCATCCAAACCCAAAAACTACAGAGCTGAAACATTTAATAGGAGAAAAGACACCTGGTTACTTAATTTAAAGCTTCAGGTTTGCCCTATTATTTTTATCTGAACATGATGAGTTACCAAATTTCTTTGATTTGACATAGCAGTCTACAGAGCAAAGCTGCTTGATGGTTCAAACTCAGAAACTGAAGAACAAACACTTGTAAACTAAGAAAGGATAAAAGTGAAAGGTAAACCTATTTCATGCCTGTGTGCAAAATATAGGAAGTTGCATTAACTTCTTCCACTTCCCACACCTGGCTATTTCTTCTTTCATTCAAAGTCTTTCTCAAAGGCAAATCATGGATCTCTTACAAGAACCATTATATAGCACATGAGGATTTGTAACCTGGGGTGATTTTCAGTCACATACCCCAGACAAAGGAACTAGAATAACCACCCAGGAGCTAGACAAAGGGGAATACAAGAGCACATGTGTTGGAATTTTTTGAGGAGTAGACATATTTTCCTTCTGCCACCTAGTGACCAATTTATTCAGATAAGAGCAGTGTTAAAAAAGTGCCATATTAAATGGAACACCTTCATGACTTTTCCTGCACCTCACAGCAGTAGTACTGCTAATCACATTATTCCCAGAGACAAGTATTATACAAGTCATGTTGTTGTAGGCTCCTTATAGTAAAGCCCTATAATGCTCATCACCGGAAAGCTTGGAGAGCAGAGTTCACCCTCATTAGAGCTAAGACTTTGAAGGCTGCCTTACACAAGCACATCTGGTGAACCTGTCACACACCATGACTGCAATTCCCCATATAGCTGGCAAATCTTTCAATAATTTCACAGATCTTCATGAGATTTTTATAGCTTGCAGGAGGCACACTTGTTATTTTAAATCTTACTGATCCAGGGTAGAGAGATTTCTAAAATGCTTGATCTGTACAGTCACTCAGTGGCACTGCTGAAAATGTGCCTGGCCCTACCTTCTGATGGTCATAAGGACTAGGATTACTTAAGACTTTTCCTGTGTATCAGAAAACAATTTATGATGGAAAAAGCATATCTTAGTTCCTAAGCTGTCAAGAAGTGCAATAGAAAGGTCACAAAGGAACTAACCAAATTTTGGAAGAAAACTGGCCTAAATATTTTCTTATTCATCTCTCAAGATGTGTACAATACTGTATGCCTCCACTGTATCTTTGTCTGTCAGGAAAGTAATGCCACTTCAGTACAGTCTCAGCTTGTATAATTAACACCACAGAGTCCTTGGTTCCTGACACTAACTCCACAGTTAAATTTAATATCACAGGTGTCTCAGAAACAGCGATTTGCACACTGACATTTTTTTCCAGCCACGAAACCATCCTGTTTTTGACATCACCACTTTATAGTGCATCAATGTTTCGCTCTCTTTTGTTTCACTTCAGCACTGCTTCTTTTTCATGGATCTTCAGAAGAAATTAGTCTAGTTTAATTCATTGCTTTTTCTTTTAAAACAAAACAGATCATTTCTTTCAAAAAAGCTTCTTTCTAAACACTATAATAAATACAAAATCCCTTTAATAAACCAGAGAAAATGAAAGTTGCTTAGAGTTTGGTTTTAACATTTCTCCCTCATATCATTTTCAAATATGTAACTTCAAATAATTTGGCACAGATTTACCTAGCATCAATGCCTTTATGGAACTGTTCTGAACTCCTAGGCATGCCTAAATTATACTATGGTATGGCAGAGACAATGGTATTGTGGAACTCCATTCATAATGCTTCAAGTCTAGGGAAGGGCACTGGTCTCATTTTTGCACTTTACATTAATATCTTTACAAAAGCCCTGTATTGGATTCCTTTAAGGAAAAAAAACAAACCACCAAATATGGGGGCAAAGGAGGAGAAGGGACTTAATGCCTGAATGACACTTAGAGATTAGAGACAAGCCCATGGTCTTCACTCAAAGAATAGGAAACCCTCAGCAACAGGACACTATGCTTCCCTTCCTCAAAAAAACGTTACACCAAGACAGAGCAAACATGACAGAACTTTCCTTAATTTGGTGTAATTATTAATAAATATCACCACTATACATGCTTTGATCATGGGGAAAAAGAAAGCACTAAGTTTTCCCACAAGTGATTATTGTGAATTTTATTATCTGTATTAAATGACTAAGAGCGCTTCCCTTTCCCTTTGCCACCTGCTCTATCACAACACTTCCCTGCCAAGTTCTTTCCCACTTGTACCTTGTCATCCCTTCCCCTGGCTCTGGATTCCCTTTCGCGGCTGCCGGAAGATTTCTCCGCCTTGGACACCACGTGTGCTCTGCCCGCGGGCCCGCGGGGCTGCAGTCCTGGCGAGTCTTTCTTCAAAGATTTGCCATCTCGGTTGGGACGTTTTATCTGAGGTGGAGCCCTAACAACAGCAACCACAACAAAGACATGCTAAAAACAGTGAAAAAAAGAGCAACATTAAGAAGGAAGGATTCTAATTTGCCTTAGCACATTATTACTAAAGCTTCCAACACCCTAAGCCTTATTTCCCTATATCTACAAACCGAAAACCACATTCCTGGTTCTGTCTGATACCCAAAGTAAGAAGAAAAAACACAAAAGAAAAAATTAACAACATTATCAGATCAGTACTCCCAATCAGTCTTACAACAAACTAACACCCATGTAACAATAGAGGAAACAATTTAGTAAAAGTCTTCAAATCAAATATTCTTCTGACTCCAAACCAGGAGATTATATTAGGCTACATTCACATGCACAAATTCTACACAAACAGATGACATTCCTGGTAAAATAAAGATTTAAAAAATAGAGACATAAAAAAAAGGTGGCTAAAATCTTTGACAGGCCCCAAAACAAAACAGGGAGGATTTTAAACAATCCGCCTACCTCTGACTTCATTCTCCTGTGTGAACATGTCAAAACATAAAAATTGCCTTGAAAGCAAAAGCAAACAGAGCTGAACTGCAATCACCTATATTTGTGTACATCACCCACAATGTCAAAGAGTATTCAGCAGTAGAATGAGGAGAAAGAATTTGGTTTTAAGACAAAGCGTCATTGTCATTTTTCTCCAGGGATTGAATTTGAAATACAGAACTAAAATAAACAGCCAGGAATGTCACCCAAATTTAATAAGTGTCCACTATTGAATCTTGTACTGATTCTTGTTTTGAGTAACTCAAAATTTGTTAACCCCAAAAACATTTTCCTGGAATATGCTTTAAATTAAGCACATTCTTAAACACATTGCTGGATACAATGGCAACATTTTGCTTTTGATGCATTTCTTTAAAGGTAACAACAGAGAACAGTGCCTAAGTTTCCTTATTTATTTGCACAAGATTTATATTTCAGCTTAAAAGAAGCAGATGAACTATTGGGGCTTTACCACTAAGGAAAATACAAGAATAACTACATCTTGAACTTTACATAACACTACCACAGAAAATCTGAGTTATTTCTACCACTTACAAAAGTATTCAGCATTAATATAATTTTACACTTATATTCTTAAGGGTTTTTTTTTTTTTTTAAGAGCAAAGATCTTTTTGACAATCATAAAGCACAGAAAGTTATAAATAAACTTGACATTTCTTTCTCTTAACCAAGATCTCTCATTTTACTTTGCTCCTTTGCTTATGTGAGTATACAAACATTAAAATTCTGTGCTCTATGTTAAAAAAACTATTGGTATGATAAATGCTATTTTTGTCTGTAAACTGAATCCGTTTCCAACCAGCTCTGTTAGGTTGAAAATAGGGATTTCAGAAAATGCACAAGCATCTATTTTAAGAAATCTATTAGCTAACTGAAGTTACCTTAAATATGGTTACAGAAGAGATACACCATATGTAACAGAACATGTTTAGCAATTAAACTAACCAATGGATTAAACACAGGTTGAATTATCTGCAGCTAGGGAGTGATTTCTAACCACCATGTCCTTCAAGATCCTTCAGTTCCAGCTCCTTACAGACTTCTCAGTCATCAATTAATTCTTTTGCTCGAATGAACTGAAATGGAAACGTTTTCTCCCTGCACATGAGAACGTGTCAGCAAAAGCCCACTTATCTCTGCAGCAAACTCTAGTTCCAGGCACTTAATTACTCCTACCAGAATAAAGGAGTGACTCTCCTTAGAATGTCAGAAATAAATCTGACTGTAGTTTAAATACTTTTTTAGATTACTTAGATTTACTAGAATTGGATTCACTCTTTATTACAAGGGACTAAATTAAATGTAATAAAAGTGTAAATTAAATGTGATTTTCATGTTACAGAAACATTCAAAAACAAATATAAAATTATGGTGAGACACCTTTATTCCACCCACTCTGCTTGAGCCTCTCCTTACCTGTGTTCAGCTGGAACAGGAGGAGGCCAAACAGCTGGATCTCTGAAAGGCTCATCTTGACAGGACACAGAGATATCTGGAGGTCTGTCCATTTTAAAACTCTCTAAAGTGTTGACAATGCTCTTAACTTGTTCATATTCTTCAACTAATTCTTGTCGGACCTTGAGAAATACGTATGTTACTTAAAAATTCTTACAATTCAAACTTCAAAAAGAACCAAACAAACATAGAAAGTACCTCAAGAACATACGCTAACCTATTTAAAAACCCCAGACCTATCAGGGTGATGAGACCTTTAACAGCAGCATAAACAATTGTATCTCTGTTGGGTCCATTTTCCTGCTTGTTAATGTCCCAAGCAGACATGATTGCTAATGCAGTGATCACTCTCCTGTAACATGTGCTGATGCTTGGATTTATGTGTGTATGTTGACGTGTATGCACACACACTCTCACACTAGTAAGGGTGCTGTTGGCAGATCTGCAGTAATGTGCTACTATTTTGGCATAAAAGATCTCTGATGACAGTCTCTGATGTCCTAGTTATAAATCCAGCCAAATCATTAAAATATAATATTACAAAATGAACACTGTGAGGAGCACAATATTAGAGTGTGTCCAAAGGAGAGCAACTAAGATGGTGAAAGGATGAGGGCAAGACTTATGAAGAGCAGCTGAGGTCACCTGGCTTGTTCAGCTTGGAGAAGAGAAGGCTGAGGAGTGACCTCACAGTGGTCTACAACTTCCTCAAGGCAGGCAGCAGAGAGGGAGCTGCTGATCTCCTCTCCCTGGGGGCCAGAGATGGAATAAAGCTGCAGCAGGGCAAGTTCAGACTGGACATTAGGTTCTTCACTGAGAGGGTGGTCAGCCACTGGAACAAGCTCCCCAGTAAAGCAGTCATGGAACCAAGTCTGCCAGAGTTCAAGGAGTGTCTAGACAATGCTCTTAGTCATGTGGATTAGTTTTAGGTAGGAGCAGGGAGTTGGACTCAATGATCCTTATGACATTCTTCCAGCTTGAGAGTTTCCACCATGATTTTATTAATATATGTGACTGTCACCAGCAAGATACTGGCATGGACAGAGGGAAAGAGAAGGGTAAACCCCCAAGGCCCTGAACAGATCTTAAAACACTACATTTACTTTACCAGAAGGTTTATGAACACCTGTACAAAAAGACCCTTAAGTACAGGAAGATCTTGATCATTTCACAGGGCAAAGCAGCCTTCTTGCTCATTCCAGATGGGGTAATTGTATCTTTCCAAAGACACAAGACATCCAGCTCAGACAGGATTATTCCTGCCCTGCTTTGCTCTCTTTGCTTTCTCATCACACAATCAGTGGACACATTCCCCAATGTGAGAGCTTCCAGCTGAGTTACAAATGTGATTGATTACTAACTTGGTTCCTTCAAACTGTCTTCACACACATCCCTTCTGTCCAAAAATAAATCCAGCCAAACAGCTGCTGTGAGGTACAAAAGAATGATACAGCATAAATCCTCCAGGGCACCACTCCACAAGAGACAGCAACTTCCTACTCCAGTGCTCCAAGAGTACTGACAGGATTCCTTCCATCAGCCTTCCAACACATGCAGAGAAATTGGTGGAAAACAACATTCTAGCACTAACAACCAGAGTGCTGTCATTCACCTCATGGACCAGCAAGAGGACGACATCTGAAAACTGAGGGAAAGTGCCATTTAATGCCTTTGAAGATGAAAACAGACTAATGTCTGCCAGCCATCTCTTAGCCTGGCCTGAGCAGACCAAACTCTGAAATACCCACCCTATTTCTTAGTCAATACCTGGCAAATCAACCCACAAGGAATCCTCAACGTGTGGACCACAAAGGAAAACCAGCCATAAACTCCTAGAGGCCTTAAAGAAACTGACTCAAACGAAATATGTGCAGAAAGACTTCCTTGCAGTTGAGAAACAACCCTGACATGGGCCAAAAAAGGCTGTGCCACAATTATGAAGTTGACTGAGCAGTGTCTTTCAGTGATCACTGCCCCTCTGAAGCAGCCTAGGAAGGCTGCAAATGGAAAAATCACTGCTTTAGACTCACCCAGTCTCCTTGTCCCCATCATACACACCATTATGCGCCAGAACCCTTAGGAGGCACCAGCTCAGGTTTTAGAGAGCCTGAAGAAAGCTTTTAAGTTATTTATGTTTAAGCAGTTTCAAGAGATAATGTGCCAATTAGCAGCTCACCACTACCAAACAGAAAACACTCCCTTCACTTCTTCTTCCCAACCACACTCTGCCCCTGCTCTTCTGCATTCAATTCTGGCATCTCAATATAGTAAGACAGTTGGCAAAATGGCAAAAAAAATTGGCCTTGGAGGGTAAAAAAAAAATAAAGGACACTTTGGCTGGGTTAGCAAGCTGCACATGCACACCATCCTGTGATCAGGTAAATCTCAGGAAAAAAAAAGGAAAGGGAGCAGAGGAGGGAGAGAAGCTGGCACAGATGAAAGGAAGAAAAGGTAGGGAAGAGCTTGGCCTCTCTAGGCATGGCAGGAGGTTAGCTGGATTCAGCTACCATGTGAAGCTGCCTGGTCCCCAGAGTCAGGTTCTGGTACAGCCCCTACAGTTGCCCCTACCAGCCACATCACCTCGTCTGGGCACTGGGTGACGTTGGAGGGCCCAGTAAAAAGCCTTTCAGCCCATGGGATGGCCCCACAGCTTTGTTTTGACATGCCAACCCCAAGAATTTCCAGTAACCAAGCAGAAAACACATCCTATCATATGGGTATAAAACACAGGGAACAAGAATTGAGTTCACTCATTCTTAGTGTAGTTACAAAACCCACTTCAGGGAGTACCTCTGTATTTCATAATCTGGCAACTGTTACACCTTTTCAATTACCACCTTTTATTTGCTATGCTAGAGCTATACCATAGCTCTAGCATAGCACATAAGTATAGCTAGAACTACACTTCTATACCCATTGCAATAAGCATGGGTATTTGTGCCTTGGTAAATACAAATAATGTGTGGGATTTTTCTTTTGCTGAAGAAAAACTGATCAAGTTTATCTCTAGGTGTTTTCCAAACCTGAAATTACTACCTACAATTAGTGTTAGTTATTCAACAAGTCCAATTTTTTAAAAAGTGAAAATAAAAGATCCCTAAACCATATCCAAAACAGGTATCCTGAACCCTGTCTGATCCCATGGAGTGAAGGTATAACTCCTATAATGACACCTATTCATGAGTTACCCACAGAACGTTTCTTAGTTAATGGCAAGGTAACCTACTAAATGTTAATGAAAAAGGCATGAAGCAAAAACCACAAACACACAGATTAACCAAAATGTGTTTGAAATAATAATAATAAGAATTTACCCTTTATTCTTTAAGCAGGAATACAGTGCACCTAATCAGTGCACCTGCACCAATGACCACAGTCAGTCAGGGTGCCTTGCTGGCTGCTCCAAGCACTCAGGGAATCACTGAACTCCTGCCTGATCTCCAGTGGAGGCCCCTGTGCTCTCAGCTCTTGTGCAACACAGAGCACATGGTTCTAACATGCAGCAGGGTTTGCTTGACAGCCTCTGGCCTTGTCGGAAGCCAGTACTATCTCCCAGGGGCACACTCCGCTGTCATTCTGCAGCTGCTGAACTGTCACTGAAGCTGCTCGTTCCTACAAGCCAGCTGTCTAGTAAAAACACTGCAACAGCCAAGAAACTCTCTCAGAATAAACAGGGAGAATGTCAACACAAGTAAAGTTCAGTAGTGGACATGAGACTAAACCTGCCTTTTAGTTTTGGTAAAGATGAGTTGCTTCTGATTTTGTATCTTTCCAGTCCCAGCCTGCATTTACATGAATTAATAAGCCTGCCTGTCAGCCTAACCTCAAAGCACAACAAAGTAACTTTTTCTTTTTAAATGAGCTCAGGAGGCCTAGGAGTGAAGATGCAAATGGAGCTACACTCAGCCAACCCAAGTGCCAGCTAGGAACTCCCGGGATGCAAAACAAGTATGGGTCTCGAGAGCAGGTCACCCTGATCTCCCCAAGATAAAACAGTCAAGAGATGATCAATGGCTGTGAATTTCCCATGAAGTCAGAGGAATTCTTATACTGTCATGTCTCTGCTTTGTCGGATCCTCAGCATGCATCTTTTGCCCTGTTTAAGATCTGCAGGGTGTACTAGACAGTAACAAAATCCCTCTTCCCTGGTTAGCACTGATTTGGAATTCCCAGAAGCAATATTGCATCAGCTGTAGCTGAACGACTCAGTTGTTTTCAGAGGAGAAGACATTAACATGTTCATATTCCTCCTCATCCTAACCATCAGCTCCAAGCAGGAGGAATCCTCATAGTCAAGATGTCCAGTTGCAAAGCTCAAGCTGTCTCTCAGTATGACGTGAAATACAGCCCAACAAATACTTGCACAGAACATCATTCTGTCCAGACCACCTGTAGCAATTTTAAAACAATGACACCCATGCAAAGAGAGGTAGATCAAGAGCATTTGGGAATCTGACCCAAAATCCCAACTACTTCTAGTTCACCTGGGCTTTGACATTGCTCAAACTACTGAGAAAATCCTCTGTCATACACAAGGCAACAAAGCAGATCCATCAGGCGTGAGGTACCTATGCGGGATGGAGCACCCACTGTTGAGAAGAACGACGGTGCAGGTAAGAGATGTAAGTTGGTCAGCTGCACAACTACAACTGGAACCATTCTTTGAGATGTTCCTCAAATGAACATTTTTGTTTTACAATGGAACATGTCCACAAACACATGAAACTTAGTTCACTGCCTCAGAAGTATCAGTAGGACAAAAACCCTGTTAGTGAGCTGCACACAAAATATACAGAAAGGAAGGGGTGGGATGCTTCACACTGACACAGCATCCCAGGAATCCTTCAAAAGGTTCAAGATTGTGAATGTGTATGCAGACAGTACGTCCCAGAGAAGAACTAGTTTAAGTAACATTCTTCGCCTTTGAGCACTTACCTACATGGACATTCAAGAGTAAAAGTTCTACCTACACAGTATTAGTGGTTGCTAAACTCCAGCTCCAAAAGACACCAGTGGTATTATCCTCTCCAGATTCCTCAGATGATGGAGAAGCTGAAAAACCTGAAGAACAGGCTAGTTCCATATGCTTGAGGAGACAGAATTTCAGGTAAAAATCAACTGCATTAATCCCCTTAACCATGACCTAAGGCTTGCTTTGCTTCTCAAGCCACTTGCAAGAAACACACTGGTATGGGAATCTTTTCCTTCGGCACATTACTGGTACCAAGTGGGTTGGACATGAAATTTGCTAAACTTACATAATGTGTATGGCATAACTCTTTAATGAGAAAGATCTAAAATTAACAACTAGATATTGCTTTAATACTGTGAATGAATGTTACTTGTGATCCAACTTCTCAGTTAAATTTTTTTCTGAACAGGTTATCATTTAAGACAGCTCCTTGCCTGTGACTGACAGTTTGAATGTAGCTGCTGTTGGAGCTGGAAAGTAGTGCTAACATCCACATCATCAGACTCCCTGTTAGTCTGTCTCAAGGAGTGAGAAAGCACAACAATTATTTAGAAAGAGTGGGTAAAGAAAGCAGGTCTATCTCTATAGGTCTCACCAAAACTTGCAAGCTCTGGTATGGAAAAGATAGTAGTTCCAGGGCTGCATCATTTGCTCTTGGGCTGTATCATTTTGTTCCCATAAATGAATGAGAAGGCAAATAACCTAGGAATGAAGCTCTTAATTTTTATTTTTTTTCAGTCACACTTCTTACTTTTGGCTGTTTGTCTCTGAGCCTGACACCAGTAACAGCAAATATTCTGACAAAGCTCATCTGCCACTACTGTGTTGGGAAGTTTCAGAATTAACATGAGTGCACAGCGTGACAGGCGCTACCCCACCTGCTGCAGATCTTATTTGGGACAGATCTCTAAAGCATTTATGTGACATGGTCAGGAGCAATTCTTCTTTTGCCTAAAGGGGATAATTTCTGAGAAAGTGCCAACTTCAGATCCTCTGCTGGAGAGACAGCTGCCTTCCCCAGGGAATAAATCCTGGAAACTGTTAATGGTCCTTTTGTACTTGAGGTTTGTCTCCAACGTGCAGCACACATTCCATGGTGCACAGACTTCTCTGAAGCAGTTCAAACAACACACAATAACATGAGACTTGAGTGACCTTCACAACACAAGAGTTGTTGAAAGATTATTGGAAGAATCAGTGTCATCAGAGGAAACACTAAATACTAGATGTGAAGACAATGCAATGGTTCAGCTGCAGAATGAGGAAATCCTCATGCTCTACCTTCACATCAGCTACAAGTTTGGCAGGAACTAAGGACAGGTACTGGGCATGAGCACCTTGTATCAGCATGCCCTGGGGTGGGAAAAAGCTTGAATACAAGTACTTGAATGTGAATATCTCCTATACAACACCCAGCTTACTACATTACCAGGAAAACTGTCTCTGCTGGATGTACATGCACATGCTTTGCAGACAAACTCTTCCTAAACAGAATTCTACAGTTCTATGATAAACACCTATGAACAGTACTGTTACTACAAAGTGATTGTTAACAGTGTTGTACTTATCAGTACACAAAATACTCTATGTTAGTGTCAGAAGTTTCAAACACAAACCCATAAACAAATCATCTGCTGCAATAAAAAGGAAAATTTGCTTCTGTTTTTAGATTATATAATTTAAACACATGATATTTAGAAAAACTCTTACTGAAATCCTCTCTTTAGCTACCTAGTGAAAAATTGTATCTTTCATAGGAGATACATTATTCTTTCAAAACAGTCTTTATGCAACACTAATTATTTACTCTAGGAAACATCTTTATATGGTTTTCCTCCTTTTTATGTTTATAGAACACAGTTTGTACCATGAAAAATGGGCCAAAAAAATGTGAGGAAGACTTAAATACTGAAAGTAATGAATAGATGGGGTTCTTATATGTCACCTGCAGATTACTTCCATGACTTCAACAGTACTCTGTCTAGCAGGGAGATGGATGTGTGCAAGACTCAGGCTAAGAGTATGACTTGCAGGTTTAGAAACCTGATCCAAATTTGTACACTATAGTCATTTAGTTAGCTGCTACTCAGACAACAATTCTAGTGATGCTAACCCACCCACTCACATTTTAGTTTACTGGACATAAGATGGCCAAAAGATACAAGGGGAAAAGAAAGTCCTTAATTTTTATAAAAGCATGCAACCACAGAGAGTATGCAGACAGAAACAGACCAGGAACTAGACAGACATCCTAAGTGACAACAAAGAAAGAATTGATTCAGTTAGGACAATAAAATTCCTTTTGAACACACCATGAAAATTATTTTTTGTTGATGAATATCCATAAAATATTGTACAACAACTGTAGCCAACATCACTGAAATGTCCTCTACATCTTATAAGGTTTGGGAGGTATAGTGTGGTTTTCAAATATCAACTAATAGAATAAAGTCCATGTTATTTCACCCTACCTGTTGCCATTTGCCCTTAATTGCTGGATCTCTGATCGACTGGCAATGTCTCTGGATTTGCTGGATGACACCCTGGTAATATACCATAGAAGAGTCATAATTCCCAAGGAGTGCATATTCTCTTCCTTTTTTGGCATTATCACAAATCTCTGCTAAATTCATCTTCACTCAGAAATCTAAAAGAGAACATAATTACCAGAAAAAATGAATTTTACATGCTGTAGAATAATTCAGACAGTGATGCTTTAGTTTTGTTATTTCTCTCATAGCTGAATTGTGTCTTTCCAACCCTGCTCCCATCCAGTCCTGCTCTTCTACAACCATTTATGTCTGGAGTATCTCTTTACTAGCCTAAGGTTTCAGATCATGAATCGTAACTCTTTTATAGTGATTAAAAACACAACTTCTTTGCTGCCTTTGGCCCCAATCCTGTTACATTAATGAAATAAAATTAAATGCCCTTCCCACACTGAAACTAACAAACTCAACTTTAATTTGTAGATCACCACAATGTATTAGCTGCCATCAGCTGTGAATCACAAATCACACGAGGCATTAAATTGCTTTTTATTCTGTTGTACTACATACGTGCCTAAATGTGCCAACCAGCATCAGGGATGTCTGCACTTCACACTTTCAAGAGCCCTCACCCTAATGAGATTATGATATGGTTGAATGACTGCTCCACTATAGATGAAGTTGAGAGCCTCATTCTGTTTAAATATTCTTTCAAAGTACTCCAGCATCCACATGCTGACTTGAATTTTTTCATTAAATTTAACATGTCACTTTGGGATTTATGGTGGAGTTAGCAATCCAAATTTAACATTCCTTAGAACAGTGATTCCCAAAGTACAACCTTCCCCTAGTCCTCAAATTGCATCATGACTTCAAGGCAGACCCATAGCCCAGCTTTTCCCAGTAACCAGTCAAGAAAGCAATAACCCAGACATTCAGAATTAAGCTGTGTTGTACAGCTAGGTTTGTATTTAAGGTTCAGGATTGAAGCAGTGCCTGCCCTTTTATCTGAACCTCATGTGACCCAAAGTTTAGGTCCCCACCACAGAAAGAGTATCAGTTCCTTTCCCTTGTACTCTCAGTACATGTGGGGGTCCCTGACATTCAGCAAGATATAAACCTCTGGAAATGAAAACTAAAAAATTGCAATTCATAGCTATGCAATACAGAGTTGAATTGAGCAAGAGGGAGGAGATCAGCTCTGGAGCGTGGTCCACTAGCTGTATCAAGGGTTTGGCAAGACCAAGGAGGTGAAGAAGAAACTGGGAAGGAGGGATACAAGCACAGTTCAGGCTACACAGCTGAAAACAGCCCATGCTACAGGAGTGCACACTGAAGGAACAGGTGGCAGCAGATAGAAGCCAGAACAGGGAGAAGCAACCTTTTACATCCCAGTGGGTTATAAAAATGTTAGTAGGTTTTATAAACAGACACGACTAGAGCAAGATGGCATTAAGGAGGATGTGTCTTATGCCTTTGCACTCCCTTGCGCTTAGCAAAATTCAAACCCATGACAAGTTAAACAGACATCCACATGAAATTCATTCTGCCCTGAGCAAACACACGCTGCACCTCCCAAGGGTGCCACACTGACAGACCTAACTGCTGCCTTCAGCTGCACACCGGGTCTGCTCCACCACCTCATCACTCCTGCTCCCTGCAACAAAGCCATGGAAACCTGCCACCCTCACTTAAACCCACAGGTCACACAGCTTGCATGTGGCTGATGACTCTGATAGCAAGAACATGCTGCTGCCCCGCAGCTGACACTGCACCAAGCACAGCAGGACTTACTGGGGCTTCACTTGTCCTCATGCTGTGCTGCACATTTCAGCTCACACAGCATTCCCGCTGGCTGTTGCAAACTACAGGGCAGGAGAAAATCTAAGATGGAAAGGGTGGCAACCCTAATTTTGCATCCTGACTTAGGCAGGATACATCATTACCAAGATCTGGATTAGTTGCAACAAAGATCATTTAATTTTCAAATACAGAAGATTGTAACAAATAGGGAAAAAAAAAGTGATGTCACTCACATTGCACAGGAAATGCATAAAATGACAGGAACTAAAGACAGTTTGTAACCCATTCAGATCTCATGAGTCAGCTTAGAAATGAACAGAAGACCATGTGGGGCAGAAGCCATTGGCCTGTCTTCAAACACATCCAGGTTAGGAACTGCTTCACAACCAGCCTGTCACCATTAAGAAAAAACATTCCTCAAATCTCTGGAGGTTTTCCACATATGTAGTGTAAGACAGCAAGTAAAGAAAACATTTTTAAGGAACTGCTGAATTCAATTTCTAGAAATCCATTAAACAGAACACATACTTGCTTTACAACCTCTCATTGCTCTTTATTACAGTTAGTTCCCCCCCTCTGGGCATGTTTAACTCCCTTTTGCCTTAAGAGGGCTGATACAACCAACTCCCCTTAATTCCAGAAGAGTCTCCTGCTCACCAGAGGAGACAACCTCTTCATCTCTTCTGTGGTGGAAGCTGGGTCAATCCACAGGCAGGAGGCAAGCCATAGGAGCCATGTAAATATGTGCCCACTTCAGGACAGTGGTTAGACAAGGAAGGTGAGGCAGGATGCAGAAAAATATACACAGTTTTAAAACTGCAGGAGCAAACCAAACAAGACTCTCCTGTTTCCTCCAGCTACCAAGAGTTTGGGGGCTTCTGGTCTCATGCTTGTGATGCCAAAGCTTATGCATGAGCTTGATGTCTGGTGTGTCATGCTGAAGAGCTCATAAAACACTGACAGGCACTGAAACTTGGAGCATGGAGGGAGGCTGGTGCACGTACACCTATGTACCTCCTGAGCAGTCAATACCTCCAGAGCTAGGCTGACAAAAGCCCCTGGATTTTTCTCGTGGATTCAGGCACTTCAGTTTTTACTCATCACCTACCCTAGACACCAAAGGTGTCATATAGCTTGAAAAGGTGAATATAGTGTCACCCATTTACCTGAGCTTTATTTGAAGCAGCAGCTGTAGGCCTCAGTCCTAAATCAGTGCTTTCCTGGAATCCCAGGCAGCTCTCTGAGATTCTACTGCTATTTAAAACTAATGCTAAAAATGGTTAAAACAAATTACAAGCCTCCTATGCACACCAGTGAAGGTAAAGTTACTTCAGAATAACCAAAGCAAATCAAAATAACTAAGTCCAAAATCAAGAAAAAAAAATATTTTTGGACGGAATTATTTCCTGTGTTGTTTTCTGGTCATCCCATTCTTCGATGTCAGGGATGGGGAGGGAGGGGGAAGTAACTACAACTAGGTGAGGACCTTTCCATGTTATGTACTCACTCTTTATTATCTGTTCTACATTGTATTATCGAGTTCATACAACATCAGAGACATCCAAGGAACCAGAAATACAGAAATCATAAATAAAGCATTTTGTTGTTTGTTATCTGGAGCTTTGTTTAGATATTTAATTTTCCTACCATACCACAGCCACATCTTTTAAGTAAATATACAGCCAGGAACAACTGTTGTCAAGTACATTTAAAACAACTTACCCACTACTTGTGACACCAGCTTTTCATTCTACCATTGTGTGGTTCTCTCCTGCACTAGACCGTAACAGCTCCACTGCAAGTCAAGATCCTTGGAGATTCCTCAGTTCACGGATCATTGACAAGAAGAGACATTACAGACATTCATGTCGGCATAGCTGCCACACATGGGGTCTTAAACCCACTTGTTAAAAACCCTGCAGCAGCCAGGCTAAAAGGTCACAGGGGATATTAATCTCTGTTCTTTGGAGCATAAGCTGGGCTGATCCCTATCTGGGGTCAGAAAAGAATTTTTCTCCCAGAATTAAAGCAATGCACAATTGAGCAAGATCCAAAAGGCAGTCTCTACTTTAACATTAAAGCATTATACACACAAACATATCCATGGGCAGATACAGTGACTGTGTGGATGACAGGCAAAGGGGGACAGCTTAGCATTATTCCCAACTTGTGTGCAACACCAGTGGGAATGGATTCAGGCCTGGCCCCCTTCAAACCATCTGTCAGTGCTATCTCACCAGTCTTACCAGAGGCAGCAAATGCTCTCCCCTGTAGAGGGTGTCTGCAGCAGGGCTTTTCCTCTTGCTTGATCCCAAACATTCACTCTGCAAGTGCCAAAATGGAAGGCATCTGCTATCTTTCTATGTCTCTTTTATGCATGTGTTTGTTTTGACACAACCAGTGACACCACTGCATCCCATTTTCTCCACAGGCTCTTGACTCTTGCACGGGATGGAGCACACTCATTAAATGAGCTGTTAGACACTTTTGCTTTATTCTCGTTGTTTCAATACTCACATCAAGCCTTATTTATACCTACTAATCAGAGTTTTCTCCAAATCAGATGTTAATTCCCCACTGAGAGGGCTATACCATACATGGATTTTCATGGGCATGTGTCTTTCTCTGATCAAAATTTTATCCAGGCAAAACAAAAACATTCCACAGCTTCCTGAGATTGCTGGACAGATGCTCTCACATCATGGCAGTCCTGCAGTACTGCTGACTGGACAGTTGAACATCTGGAAAGGCCTGGACATACGCTGATGAAGATTGGCTACTAACCCTGTTTCTCATTTTCTGTAAATCAGCCGTGCGTGATGTTGGGCATCCCGAAATGCAATGTAAGAGTTACAACGAATGTCACAAGACAGAGAGTCACACTGTCAGGCACCATCAGTGCTTATGACTGAGGTATGACTGTACACTTTCCACTTCAACAAGGCAGAGCCAGGATGACTGTCTGCCACCACACAATCCCAGAACAGGTCAATTGCCACACAGAGCAAAGCAAGGAAGAGAAGTCCACTGTCGAGAGGTTTTGATTTTTTGGATTTATACACTTTTCATGTGCAACCATTTCCATTATCAGACTCTAAGTCATAAACTGAAATTATTTTTCTTCAAATTCCTCTTACTGCTTGGAAGTTTTTCGTTACAGTTAATTGAAACCTGCCCTTCTTAGGTTAAAGCCATATCGATTTTGTAAGCCAGCTTTGACCAGTTTCAAACAGCTCTCTCTCCCTCAATTTTGTCTTCACTTAAAATAGCACAACGATCTGATTTTCAGTCTTCTCTTAGAACTTAAAAATTGTTAAAACAGAGACACGTAACAATGCTTTACCTGAGAAAGCATAAACAGCAACACTAACTGGAACATTGTCAGAGGAAAAAAAAAAGTGTTTTTCCCCACATGACATGTGACTTCTACTAGAAGCCTACAGAATTCTACTTCTGACAGAAATACAGACTATTTTTTCTTACATGCTTGATACATTTTATTTGATTTTTCAGAATAAGATATTTAAAAAAGCAATAATTAAAAGAAATTAAATAAATCTTTCCTGCTTTATTATAAAGATTATGTCTTTCATTTTGGTGTTGGGTGCAGAACAACTGATCTTCATTGCCAATAACTATCTGTCCCTGTTCAGAAGCAATTGCTGATGCTGTAGACATTACGTTTGCATGACAAAAACAACATTTTAACTGATTATTGTCAGATAAAAAACAAACAAACAAAAGGCTTGCCAAGTTCCATAGCTAAATCCATCTTTCCCTGTTAACATGGCTTTGTTTGAACATGCAGCTGTGGTCCCATGGACTGGTGTGAAAACTAATGATCATGACTTCACAGGATCACGGCTCCTGTTAAAAACATATCTGTAAGTAAGGGCATGGCTCAGTTCCAGCAGATTTGAATCAAAACTACATGTAAATGAATCAAAGATGAGAAATGTTATGCCAGTGCTGTTTTTTCTTTTTGCTGTGTGCATTAGCAGTGACAAGGCTGGCTACAATTGCAGCAGCAGCAGCGTTGGGGTTGCAGCAGGTTATGCCATTTTTAAAGCAGTACAGACACCAGATAAAACACACACACACACACACACACACACACACACACATATATATCATGGTACAGGAAACCCAGCACCAAGGGATCTCTTAATTCAGTCAACTGCTTTCTGCTAACTGGTTTTTGGCCTCTTTGCATTGAAACTCTGTTTTGCAATAGCAGACGTAGAGTTAATGTGGAAATGTGTATGGAAGTGGGAAAGAGAAGAAGAATGCATGCAGGCCTCAAACTATTTTTGTGTGCATTCTTAACTTGAAACAGAGATTTACTTGAGTGCAAGTGAAAAAAAAAAGTCTTCAAATGAAGTAAAGACATTCACCACGGGTTAAAAGGAATCACATAAGAAAACACTAAATAGGTGGCCAGTCTTTTAATTAAAGATTAATTTCGATATTTAAATTAGAGATTTCATTAGTTTGGTGAACCAAACAGAAAGCATCCTGGAGAATGAAATAGCTATATGCAGAGCCTTTGAAGTACAGTTCTCTGAAAAAGCAGAAAGGAGAATCAGAGACGGCTGTGCTATTCCTAAAACTGAGTGTGAACCGTATCCTTCTCCAAGCACCTCATACTCCAGTTTCAGACACATCCATATGGCCCCATCACCACTACCTGGGGTAATGAGGTGTTCATTAGCAAGGCTGGGCAACAAAAAGAGCTAAAACAAATGCTGTGGGGCACTCTGGGGAGTGTAACTCCACACACACGTGGGTCAGGCAGTGACAGGCTTGCCAGCTTCTGTTCTATCTTAGCCCTGCTGGACCCAGGTAAAATGCAACACCACAATCAACCCCTCCTCTGACAGGATGCAGGGCCCAGAGACCTGAAGGACTCTGTAGGGCCTGTCTGGAACTCCACAAAGTGGAACCCAGCCCGAGTCAATAATCCTTCTGGTCCTTTGTGGAGCCACTTGCTTCTCTGCATATCATGTGTGTAAGCACTTCTGGTAGAGCAAACATGCCACCAAAGATTCCCAAGATGGTCTGTGCAGAGCCAGCTCGGGTTTAGAGCGTTTCTTAGGTCGGCTCTGTGCCAAGAAAGGCAGTGAAACTGCTCCTGCACCTGGCCCTGGATACAGCACTGCCGTGTTCCCCCCACACCAGACCACAGCCAGCTCCACAACGACTCCGTGCTGCTGCTGCTCCATTCCAGCTCAGCCAAGCTGCATCCCAGATAAGCTTTCCATGAATAACTGGAGGTTTAATACACTCACAGAGGTGTTTATAACCCTGACTCATAAGGTCAGAATTTTGGGCTGAATACTTTTCCACCTCTTGAACTCCACTCTGAATGTCAAAGAATTGGCTCTTTAGGACTAAGGAAATGTAATACTTGCATAGAATACATTTTTTAAAATATACATTTATATGCATATTGATGTTAGTGCTACAGACATGAAGTCTTCAGATTTCTCGGTTCATCCCCAGAAAAATCAGCTTTTTTTTTTTTTTATTATTATTAATTACACAGAAAACCAGATAAATTTTTTTTTTTTTTTTTTTTCTTGTATTCCATTTATTTCACAGTCTTTTGATTTGGCATAGGTCAGGGCAGGAAACATCTCTCCCCATTACCTGCTCAAAAGCCCAAATCTCCAAGAGCCAGGCACCCCAAGCACTCTGTAGCTGCAATGTTCCTTCTGCAGTGTGGCAAGTACCAGGAGCTGCAAGAGAGAAGCTGAAGCCTGTCTAGGATATAGCTGACATAGGGATGGGGGGAAAAGGAAGAAAAAGGAAACTGCTCAACAATCTGCAACTGCAATCAAGCATTCATTGGAAAGAAACCATCTCTGTGAAATGTGAAACTGTAGTAGGAATAGACATTCAATATTCATATACAAGAGAGTACTAATGCACGGATGCTTTTAAGATACAGATTTTCAGGAAGAAAAAATGACACCCCCTTATATACCAATCATAAACACATGTATTTTAAGTATGGTATATAGAGAAACTATAATTTTATTCCCCCTTATGACTGTTAGAGAACATAAGATAAAAACACTAGAACTGTCAGGTGAGGAAATGGAGAGAGAAAAGGGACAAATGCTGACATCATGGCAGAATTTTTTTGGGAAAAAATAGAAATGTAGCAGAATGATTTTTAAAAAGTAACACTGTCCAGACCACCCAGTGCAACAAGCTCAACGGAGCCTAAGCATGGCAGTAGACGTTAAACTGGAAACCATAAAGGCAAACTGGTTGGAGAAACTTTCCAGAGCTCCCTCTGACCATTGCCTCCTTCGTACCCATTCCCAGCCTCCGGGCTGCTCTGCCTTCTGCACAGCTCTCTGTGCCTCTGCTCCACCACTCCTCCTCCAGCACATATCCATCCATCCATCCATCCATCCATCCATCCATCCATCCATCCATCCATCCACCTATGTTCCCACGCGCCCCTTTCCTTGTATTCTTTCTCTCCCCCACCGGCATCCAGACGCCCCAGTCCATCCTCCCCTCACCGCAGGTACCCACCCATTCAGTGCCCTGCCCGCGCCTCCCCTCTGCAGCCGCACCGCCCCTGCGCCCACCCTCCCAGCCGGCCCTGCCGCACTGCCCCTCCCTCCAGCCCCTCCCGCCCCGGCAGCGGCGCAGGGGCTTCTCTCCCTCGCTGTTCCGAGGGAAGAGCCGCCTCAGCGCCCTCATTCCGAGGGAGCCTCCCGTCCCCACAGGGGTCCCCTCCGCAGCACCCATCTCCCCCCCCTCCCCCGAGAGCGCTGGGGGCTGTAGTTTCCTCCCGCCGCCTCTCCCGGCAGCCCGTAGCGACCGGCGGAGGGGCGCGGACTACACTTCCCGACACGCTCCGCGGGAGATGGGGGGGGTGCCCCCGCCCTCCTCCAGCCTGTACCGCTGGTTTCCCCCCCATCCCCGCCGCCTCTCTCGGCGTGGCGGTGTCCGAGCCGCCGCCCGCCGCGGGCAGCAGCGCCGTGAGGGGCTGCCCCGTTCCCGGGCCCTGCCGTTACCTGGGAGAGCCGGGGGTGCGTGTCCGCGGGCGGGAGCGGCGCGGGGAGGGGGCGCAGCGCTGCGGCTCTGTCAGAGCGGGGCCGGGGGGGGAGCNNNNCGCGCGCGCGGCGACGGGCGGTTGCCATGGCGGCGGCGGCGGGCGCGGGGAGGGGACGGCACCGCCGCTCCGGCCTCCGGAGCGCCTCCGCTTGTCCTGGCGGCGGGGGAAAGCGATTTTCCTAAAGGAAAACCCCGCGGCACCGCCGGCGATGGCTGCGGGCGCCGCCGCCCAGCCCGCGTTTAGCAGCCCTCGGCGGGGCTCCGCGCTGAGCATCCCCGGCGCAGGCGGGCGGAGAGCGTCCCGCTCGCTGCGGGAGCCGGAGCGGCGCGGGGCCGGCCGGGCAGGAGGGAGGGAGTGCCGGAGCCGAGCGCCCCGGCTGGCTGCTGAGCGCCCGCCGTGCTCTGCGCTGTGCTGCGCCAGGGCTCGGGGCGGGGAGGCTGCAAACACAGAGCCACAGGGTGCGTCAGGCGGGAAGGGAGCGCCGTGGGTCACCTGCTCCAAACCCCCGGCTCAAGCAGGGCCGTGCCGCAGCACATGGCGCAGGATTGCGTCCAGACCCTTCTTGAACTGCTCCAGTGAGGGAGGCTCCACAAGCACTCTGGGCAATCTGTTCCAGTGCACGGTCATTGCACAGTAAAGTTCTTCCTCATGTTCAGCTGGAACTTCCTGTGCATCAGTTTCTGTCCTTGCGTCGTGTCCTTGCAGCTGGAACCAGCGGGAAGAGCTCTGAATACACATCAGAGCCAGTTCACACTCAGAATGCAAACCTCATGTGCCTCCAATTCGTCTGTGGGAGTGTCTGTCTAGGAAATGCAGAGCATACGTTTGTCCTGTGTGCGTGCAGAAGGGCACTGGACCATCTTTGCTATAGCAGTCTAATACACTTTGATAGAATCGTAAAGGAACTGATTTAGGGATTTGCCCTGTTCCTGGACCAAAGCGGTATTTGGCGATCAGAGGCAGTCACACAGGGTGGCACCACCCAGTTTGTGTCAGCTCCTGAGGGTGAATGTTCCTGAAACATGCAGGTCACTGTTAGTACGAGCAGCCTGGTGCCCTGCGAGGGGAGCCGTGCAGTTATAAACCTTTCTAAGGCTGTAATTTCACAGTTAATGCAAGACAGCCTGTGTCTGTATTGCCACCGAAAGGGGCAGTCCTGCATTCCTCTCTGATCATGGATATGCCTTCCTGTTTGTTATTTACACCGCAGTAACACTGATGATGCCATCTGGCAAGGCAAGCCTGGGATCTGATCTGGTAGAGAGCCAGATTTGCTCCTCCAAAAAATTAACTGAGTTCAGCTGGAACTGAAAGTTCCTGAATTAGCTGAGTCTGTAGAGCTGCTGCAGGCACAAGGAAGGCAGAGGAGATGTGGAGGCAGGAGCAGCCCATGGAATCTGCAGCCCAGTGGATCTGAGCTGTGTTTCTGTGTGCAGATGCACCACTGCAGTGAGCCCTTACTGCTGAAACTGCCTTGTGACAGCTCTGAGAGTGTCCCAGTGACGATGAATCTTGTGATCACACCTGGTAGTAGTACATGATTTCTCCGGAAAATTTCTGTTGTAGTTAGTTTAAGGCACCAGCATGAGGTTGTATCTCGCAATAAGGTTCTCAGACGTGCTAAGTGACACAAGAGCAGGGATTGAAACTAAAAGCTCAGTATGCCTCTTAAACAATACAGCATGCGTGAGTGTGTCACTCATATATCTACAGATCTTGTTTCTGTCAAAATCATGTGGAGATTCTTATGTCTTTGTGAGAATTTTGGAACCGGGGCCAAAATCATGATGAATTCATAACAGCTGCAACTCTGGCTTCCCCCATTTCCAGATTCCTTCGAACTTGCCTGCCCATGACATCAATTCCTGCTGGTTTTCCACATACACAAAAGCATAGATGCTGTGCAGACCTTACAGAGTTCAACCTTTCTAGGGGAGAGCAGATGACAAGTGGCCTCGTCCCAGCACTTCCATAATATCCCTTCCCACGAGACTATGTACCTCTTACCACATTAGGCAACACATTAAGTGCTTTGTCTGAGGATTGTATCCCCCAGCTAGGAAATTGTGACCCAGAGAAAGATGGTTATTTGGGTGAAATTTGTCTGGTTGGGTTTTTTCCCCCACCCCTTTTTTTAGTAACAATTGAGTCAAGCAGGGCTGCTTCCCCGTGGCAGAGGCTCCCCATGCTACAGCTGACCTCCCTTTTGAAAAGCAGTTGTTCAACACTAGAACAATACCAGTGCCAACCTATTTTGACCACTCTGAGGCAAGGTTTGGTAAGCATGAGTCTCCACAGTTTGCCAAGATATGCTGTGGCTGTGTCAGCAGGAAGAACTGTGTCTTCAGGTTCCTGGCCATGCACTGTATGCACACATGTATATAGGGTAGTTCATGTTGGAGGGGACCTCAGAAGGTCATCTAGTCCAGCCAGGCAATCAGAAGTTCATAAACCTGTTAGTAAGCCATAAGAATAATAACTTTAAGTGTGAAATTTCTTAGTCCTTCCTATTGCTGGGTCAAATTTGAGCAAATCTGTCTGGACTTCTGCAAAAGGTACTGCTTCTCTGACCTCATTACTGAAGGTTCCTGCCTTCACAGCAGTCCCTGGATTGAAAACCACTAATGTTTCTAAGCCATTTTAATGCAAAATATGGTGTTAAAATCATCTTATGAGCAGTTCAGGGTAATTTTACAGGACCTGGTGTTGAAGCAGCTGGTACTAGTGTGTCTCATTCCACTGACTCTGCTGTGAGGCAGTAATTTCAGGCAAAGAGGAGGTAGGAAATTGCTGGGAGGGGAGGTGACACCTTAAGCCACTGAAGCTTTTTCTACTCTGGGCATATTCTCATGGCTTACAACTTCTTTATTTTTTGATAGAGGCTATAAACCTAGCAGTTCTGGATAAGACATGATGGTGGTGGGTGTCAGCAAGTGTGGTTAGGCAGGATCCAGCTGTGTTGGTGGAGGAGAGCATTACTCACAGCCAGACCCCAGAGACTTATCATGGCCCTTTCCAGCAATCTGCAAATCTGCCAGCAGAGCTGATTGTGTGCCCGCTCACTCTGATTTATTCTAGTCAGTTCAATCAGAAGCTGATAGAAATTAATGTAACTCTTTTGCCATGAACATTAGATTTGGTTCAGAAGTGTCTCTTCCGCTAGAGTAATTGCAGACACTGTCAGAGAAGTTTAAAGCTGTGCACTCTCAGGGTCTCTGACAGATTAACAAAACTGGTTTCTGAATTGATTTGGTTATCATTACGTAAATTCCACTGACTAGAGTGCTGGCACTGGCTTTTAGCACAAAGTAGCAGAGAGCTTCATTTGTAACCTCCTCCCACCCACAAAGTTCTGCAAGGAGAAGGTTGAAGTCATGTGAGAAGTCTATGAATTATGAACTGCCCTCTGCTTCTGTCTTCCCTTCCCCTTGCAATTATATTTAACTAGACTGCAGGAATTATTGTGCCTTCATAATAAGCTTTAATGCTGAGATGCAAACATAACTCTTTACCAAAGATCTTACAGGCTGTATGGAGAAATGCTGTAATAATGAAAAGGGAAGAACAATAGGGAAGCAGTAGGGAGAAGAAGATGCATGTTACATATTCATGGACATTACCCTTCCAAGGGAAGTTATGCACAAGTCAGTAAAGGCATCAGTAGACTGTTAATTTTCATCCACACATAGTAATTGTTCTTCTGCGTAGATATTTTTATGGAATTATATTTACCAGTATGACACATCCACCAATTTTTCTCCTAGGAAAGAACTTCAGAGTTTGAACACTGAGAAAGGTTTAGTCAACATCCTTCCCACAAGGCACATCTCAAAGTGCTGTGAATTGTTAATAGAGAGCAGTGTAAGAGAAAGTAGTTGATTTTCAAACAGGATTGATTGCAATTAAGCCAGAAGGCGAGAGGTGGAATAGACAAGGATGTTTTTATTTATCTGGTCAATGTAGACATCTGTCATGTAGAATTTTTCCTCTGACTTAAGATTTTGGGGATACAATTCCTGCTTCAACCAAGGTGGACTGTGCCCTGAATGTGCTTAATTTTTATCCAGTGCTTATAGCAGACTCATCTGATCAACATAAGTGTAAGTGTTTGCACTGTAGATGTCTAATGGTAGGTGACAGGAGTCCCACCCAATGTGTTGAGTTGTTAGAGCCCTAGAGAGGGAAAGCTGTCATGGCAGTTTTATGTTGGTCGATTAAAATGATGAAGAACAGGCCAGTGCCACTTTAATGGAAATCACAGGTGGAAGAGAAGACAGATCTTTGAGATAAGTTGAAACAAGCCCACAGTGCCCTGGGAAAAAACCCCACCTGTTCTGCTTTGAGTTTGTGGACAGAAATTAGAAAAACAAACAGGAACTAGGATCTTGTGTTTCTTTTATGTGTATACTTAACATGCAGAAGCATTTTGTGTGTGTTGGAGCATTACTTTTTGGAGAAGGAATAAGAAAGGAGTTTACAGCAGTCAAAACAAAGAGAGAGGAAACTTGGACAGAAACCTCAGAGAAAGTAGAGTCATGCCCAAGGAACTGGATGTCAGCAACTGTTAAGTGAAAATCTGGACCAGGAAAGAAAGTTTATTCACACCATCTCGACTTTGTGGCAGACCACTAGGCAGTATCAAGTGTCAAAGTTACCCTTAATCCATCTGCTGGGGTTGACAGCTGAGAGAAAATCTCTCATGATTTGCTTTTGTTTGGTGGTATAACTCTTTCATGGTAAAGTGTGAGCTTTAAGCTGTTTTTTAAAGATGTGACATTCTGGAGTTGCACTGTCTGTCCCACTGCAATAAGTTTGAGCCTCACTGCTCAGTTTCTACCACATTTGCAGAAGGATGGAGGTGTAACAGAGTTCCTTTTAGCTTTGGAGTAAGTAGCACAGTAGAAACGTACACTCAGCTGGTGCTTCTGCTGAGCACAGCAGACTCAGCTGTTCTAGATTTCATCTGGCAGCAAGCTGCCCAGTGTGCCCATGTAAAATGACTGGCAGCTCCCCACTTAACGATA